ATCCCGAAGTTGTCCGACGCCCCACAATGACCTAACGACTTATTTTGGAGCATGTAGTGCAAACCACGCTTATATTCGGAAAACCCAAATCAAGCTTATATATGGGAACGGAGGGAGTACCAATTAAGAGACACTCCCCATTAAGAGACATATTTTTTCAAGTGCACATATCTCCGCACACAATCCGCGGGGACCCCTGATATTTTTTTCGAATTTTCGAGCGTTCCGTTGGCTTTCGTTTGGGCACTTCAGCGTCCCGATCGGGTCACGCACACACGAGATACAGCAACACCCTCCCACACCCATGATGCGGGTCATTTTCATCCCTGTGGCGGGTCCGTTGCGAAGCATTGCGAGCATGGGCTGGGCAAGAGTAGACCCACAACAGGCGCAGAAGGCTTGCGATGCGGTCCGCAGTAGTCAGTTGTCTCTCAGGGCTGCTGCCAAGGCCTACGGGGTGAACAAGGACGCGCTATCGCGACGTTTGAGCGGTGCTATGGCCATGGATTCGAGGGTTGGCCCCGAGGCTGTGCTGAGCAAGGCGTTGGCCCCGAGACTGTAACAGGGAAAACACCCTCTCCATAACGTTTTTCGCTCTAGTTTTTTTTGTAGAGTCGACATATCATCCGAATGGACCCATCATGCATGAAACTCGTAGTTTTGATCTCGCACAATCACCACATCTTTGAAGTGTTTCTTAACGGGGGCGGAGGCGTTTTCCACCGTATTATCCCGGAAAAATTAGGGGTATAACAGGAGCCATATCTTCCCAGCACTTACGTTTTTTTTTCTTTTGTGGGAGGTAGCCTGTGATGTTAGCTATCGTACGATACCTCGACATCAATGATATTTGTCCTAATAGTCAAAAACGAGCTGTTTGAGCGGAGGGTGGCTTCAGTGTCTCTTAATTGGTATATTTACTCTAATCGATGTTACCGTATGGGGTGTTCCTCGGTAAAGACGAATAGTTTCCACGAGTTTTTCAATGAGCAGCAAGAAATGGTTCCCAACCTCTGAAAATTTGTACCAACATCCGTTAGGTCACGAGGATCACGAAAATATACTTATTTTCCCATTTGGATGTCGTGGTGATGACTTATTGATGAATTAGTGGCCAACATTGGGTCNTGGAATGTCCCAGTTTTAATTTGCAATGGACTTTCAGCTGCTCAAAAGCTAACAGTACATATAGCTGAGCAATTTCAAAATTCCTGGGATTTTGGATTCTCGGTTCCCACGTCGAGTTTTTGTCTGATCAACTTTCTGAGTGGCTCTACCCCCCCTAAATCGGCCAAGCGGAGTCGATTGCCGAGGAGAAATGGAGGCGGCGAGATCGGGAATGCGCCGAAAAAAAAAGTTCGGCATGATCCGAACTGATTTTTTTTTATTTCTCTTTTTTTTATGCGCTGAAACGTCGTTTTAGACTTAGAACCAAAAGCGTTTTTTTGAAAAAAGTTTTTTTCGCCGCGGGAGAACCAATTCGTCTTTACCGCGGAACCCGCCGTATGTACCCCGCCCCCCTGAGCTATCGGTGACCTCGCGCAGTTTGTTCGCAGCCGCTAATGTCGTTGGGTTTTCGTTCTGGGTTGTGAAGACTTTAATCACGCTCATCAGAGGTTGTCTGGGGAAGACCACATTTCATTCCCACGACGACAGACCGCGTTTGGCGACTCGGGTCAGTTAGCCGGTCCATATGTGCATGAATTGCTTGTCGCACAAATCAAACCTTTACAAGCCAAAAAAACTCAAACCATTTGAGGCTAGTAGTCATCGCAGCGCTGACCTCTGCACACTACATACGTCATGTGTAAGGCCGCACATCGTGGAAAGGCCAGCATGCGGTTCAACAAAGTTTGTCCAAAACAAACATGTGCCCGTTTTCCATCGGATCGCTGTTTGAATGATAAAGAGGGCATACCTCGAGCGACGACCACGCCGCAATCCTCCCCCGAAACCTCTTACAGCCATGATTTCACCCCCGCTCTACCCTCTGTTGGGTGCCAAGCACAACATTCAAAGGCTATGCACGTCTGTAAAATCAATCGCGAGGAGACGAGCAACAAACGACGACAGCATTCATTCCGGCTTCAAAACTAGTACAAAAAGGGCATGTCACGCACAACACTGCTTGTTGGGGCGAGGGGGGGGCACCCAACAACAAACACTAGAAATATAAATAAAATGGTACAACGGACAGAGAAGCTGTCGGATATCTCAGTCGCATATAGCACCACCATGCCTAGCGCCGAAACATGGCACGGTACCCCCCTCCCGGACACGGATATCCCCATGCAGCGGATACATTCTGCGGGACCACGCTAGAACTACGTCTCCAAGGCACAGGAGCCGTTTGCAAGGAAACTACACCAAAATTTCGCCTTGAAAAATGCGGGGTTTGTTTTTAGATACAGAGTTGATGGTTCCAGAGAGCTCTCTCTTATACGGTGTGCGGCCCGTCGTCGCCCCCCTCCCCGCTCCGCCCGGCCGCGGGCCCGGAGCCGCCGTTGCTTCCACCCGGCTTCTTAATCTCTGCCATCGCTTTGTCCGTCATCTGGCTCGCCAGATTCGTTCGGACGCAAGGACATAAAGAGAAGGGTCCGAGGGGGGGGGGGGCGATCGCTTATTGTTGCANGGGGGGGGGGGGGGGGGGGGGGGGGGGGGGGGGGGGGGGGGGGGGGGGGGGGGGGGGGGGGGGGGGGGGGGGGGGGGGGGGGGGGGGGGGGGGGGGGCGATCGCTTATTGTTGCATGTTGCTGCCGTGTTCGTCGGGTATGACCAAGATCAGGAGGGTCCTGAAAAAGCTAAGGACTGAGGCTGCTCGAGGTGTGCGACGAGTCGCGAGAAGGGCAAGCACGTGCGCCTCGAGAACCACTCGAGGAGCGGCAGGGGACACTTGACGGGCAACACGCCAAAAGGCCCCACGCCATGGTTAATGTTGCGGTACTGTTGTAGACGCGTCAACGTGAAGGCTGTGCAGGGCTGGGGCTGCGACGGCAGGCTGCAGCAGTACTGCTCACGCTTGGGCGCTTCAAAGGATATTGCCGTGGCAGTGGTATGCAGCGCTCGAAAGCGCTCGTGAAGCGAATCAGCAGCGAAAAACCTGGGGACCCTTGAGAAGCCTCCTCCTTTGTCGATTGCCTCGGTCATTCGACCACGTCAGATGGCGCCCGCACTGATAAACGTCCACTTTCGGCCAAGGAATGGGTTCTTAGTTCCCAGTGTGGGGTACGAATGGCCGCTAAATAAGTTTGGGTTCTTCACCGAGCTCACAAATGGTGGGTGCTCAACCTCATATCTGTGGGCGCCATCTGTGTACCACCTACCCCTTCGGAGACCGGCCATCGTCCCTGTCCCAGGATACCTCTGGGTAATCAATGCTCTACAAGGAGTCCTCCGGTGGGCATTTTCGACGCCTCCTATATGGGTATGCTAAACACGCAGTCCTTAGGGTAAGACATTTTCGACGCCTCGTGTTCGGAGGAAACATCCTAAACTCACATCTTTTGCGGCGGCAAAGCCTCTCTCGCTAGCGATCACCACCTCGTCTCGCCACCTTCCGAGGGTAGGGGCTGCCTCCTCCATCTTGGCCCCGACCACTTGCACCCCCTTTTCGGTCGTCTCCGATATCTTACACCCCACCTTTTCATCACGGAACAAGAAACAGCGCCAAATCCCCGAGCACGTAATAAGTAAGTGGAAGTGCAAAGCGGCGGCATGTGGCACGTGTGGTCTTCCTATCATTAGTTTTATCAGGGATACACACAAACAGACCACTCCGCTTGTGCCCGTGTTTCCATTCAAGTAACTACTGTACACAACGTGCAAAAGACACATCTTCGACGTGAAGCAGAGCAACTGCTGCCTTGTCATGCTGCTTCTTGCGCGACAAAGGGCTATGGTTATACCACCGTAGACGAAAAAATACAAGCTGCTGCTTCGCGACGGCTAGTTCACCGCATGAAACCAGATCACCGCACGTCAGGAACCCGTGTGACATAAAACAAAATTATCCACCTTCCGAACCGCCGTACGCGACTGCACACAGCCGTGTGCCTGCGAAACAACCCAACGCTAAAGGAACCCCTGAAGACCTAGAAGAAGTGAGCCACCAGCTTCCAAATTGCTGCTGACCACCACTGCACACATCGCGCTTGAAGAAAAACACAGCTCTGTTCGGAACTACAAGTACCATTCGAACACCAAATCGATCGTCCCAATGGCCCCTATACTTCCGAACAGATTGGTAGATACGAAATTAGTACGTGCGTTCGAGGCCCTCCGCCGACACACACACCTTGCTGAGGCCGTCCATGCTGCGGTCGACGAGGTTGACCGTGCCCTCCTTGATCTTCTCGGCCGTCTCCGTCCTCTCCAAGTCGCGGTACGTCGCCGCCACGCTAGCCCAGCCCGTGGCGAATATCATCTTCGCCTGGCTCCATGGGGAAGGGGGACGAGCCGCCGAGGGACCGAAGTGGGGAAGCGGGAGGTCAACGTACTGGAACTGACACGTGGGGCGTTTCTTTGAGTCACCACACGGCTTCGCATCACGGAAAAATGGTCCGCCCAGCGGCATTCTGTGGTGTTGAGTGTTTCTCGGGGTGTGCGGAAGGGACGCTTGTGGCGTAGCTTGAGTGTACGCAGGTATGCAGGCTATCGCACACCCCCCAATACTAATTAGCAGTGAAGCCAATACTTTTTCTCACCTTTATCTCAGGAGGAAAAAAAAAATCGCTCTAAATACTGGTCTTTTCCAACGTGATGCAGGGTGCCCTCGTCCGCCAATAGTCCGGGAGGCCAAAATGACCCTCCTTTTTTCGACCAGAAAACAAGATATCTACACAGAGCACCGATTTCGACCACCTGCTGGGGTCTGAGGAGGAAGAACTACAGGTACCTTCGTCAACACCGGTGTGGTGGTGCTCCGACAAGAGATGATCGTGCTACAGTTAGGCTATCGCGTGACCCCGCAAAATCGTGTATGCGCGTGGGCCGATTATTCGTTTTTTTTGTGTGTGTGTTTTTCCAAACAAATGTTGATCCGCACTACCGGCTGGTGACGCCAGAACGCGTTTTGACTCGATATTAGATGAACTGGCATCGCGGAATAGTCACTCCCACAAACGAACTGGCTCTTGGTATTTGACAGAGACCTGTGAACAGACCATATGGAGGGAACTACCTGTCAGTTTTTGGAATGGACATCAAAAAGCCGTCAAACACTCTAAAAACAAGTAATTTTCGTTTTTTTTCAGCGGCGGCCTCGTACCTGTGTGGCGATTGCGAAATTCGCCACAGGTAAAGCCACAGCTCTCGTTCCTGCCGAGGCAACACAAAAAACCGCACCACAATCCACCACTCCGACGCCACATAGCACGTGTTGCAAGATCGGGTAGAGATGGGTAACCAGAAGACAGAGGCTAAGATTTATTTTTGGGTGCTGCGTTCTTTTTTCGTTTCCGTCACCCGCTCTTTGTTTGCGGTGCGGAGTTTTTCAGCATGTGTGCGAGCTTTTGTGCAACGCGCACACCCGCGCACACGACGGCTAGAGCAGCTTTCGCTACCGTTCCAGCGCCAAAGGTAGCTGAGGATACCCCACTCGCGACGCAATGTCACTTGAACCTCGCACAAGTTGGGGAAGGGTGGGGTTGGATGCGATTCCTTTTCGATGTCAACTGAAAAAACAAAAAAACACGCGCGCATGCACCTCGGCGTTTTTTTGGAGGTGCGGAGTTATTTTCAGCATGTGTGCGAGCTTTTGTGCAATGCGCACATCCGCGCACGCGACGGCTAGAGCAGCTTTCGCTACCGTTCCAGCGCCAAAAGTAGCTGTGGATACCCCACTCGCGACGCAATGTCACTTGAACCTCGCACAAGTTGGGGAAGGGGGGGGTCGGATGCGATTCCTTTTCGATATCAACTTGAAAAAACACACACGCACGCACGCGCACACACCGCGGTTGAATTTTTGGGATGGAGAGTCTTTCGCGCATCATACATAAACTTTTGTCCTACGCGCACAGCCTCTACCGCGACCGCTAGAGCAGCTTTTGCCAACGTTCCAGCGTCAAAAGTAGCTGTGGACAGCCCACTCGCGACGCAGTGTGACTTGAACCTCGCTAAAGTTGAGGAAGGGTGGGGTTGGATACAAGTCCTTTCTGATGTCAACTTGAAAAAAATCGATTTCTTCCAAGATTCCTTGGAAACAAAAAAATTAGGGGCTCCGCGTCATCGCCGCTCACATCCTCCGACGTACAACTCAAATTCTCCGACGCCTCAGACTCAGACTCTTCAGACGACGACAGCACCTCCTCCATCACGCTCTTAACAACCCACTTGCTGCCATGCTTTGATTTCTCACTCTTGTCTTTCAAAAACTTTCTCCAGTCATGCTCTCGTTTTCGTAGTTGCCTCTCGTTCGGAACTGCGTGAGAGGCACTCTTTTTCAACGCCCTCGCAACGGAGGAGGAGGAGGAGGAGGTGCAGCAGCCGTGGGTTGGGCCTGACCCTCACCGGCGTCGTCGGCCATTTCCGTGGCGACGGTCCGCGGGGGGGTGGTCCTCGTCCAGTTGGGCGGAGCACCGCAACATACACTTTATGCTGCTGTGGTGTGTGCTCTCTACTCGAAACCACACCCACGCCCCCCAAAAAACGACTAAAAAAAAAACGCTCGAACACAGATGGTTGTGGCCTGTTCGCCTGAAAGTTGACTCGATTGTCAAAATTGGTGGGTTTTCACTGGTCGAAAAATATCCAGGAAGGAATCAAAGTCTGTTCAAATGTAGGTCCGTGTGACAGAAAATCGGCCCAAAAAGAGGGTCAGGCGCAAGCCTAACAGTACACAGGCGTTTGTCTGGGAAATTGGTAGGAGATCACTTATCCTAACCCCGGGATGTCAACAAAATTTAGCGGGAACATGGTTGTAAACAAACTTTAGCGGGAACATGGAGCGGAGATCCCACACGGGATATATAGAAGTCAGCGCAGAAAGCGGAGGTGTATCTTCCACTCAGCTAAGTCTCGCACATGCACAGAAACACACCCGCCATGGCCCAATCCCTTCCGTACGTGAAAGCACGGCATAGCAGTAGACCTGGTGCCCGCTCTCTGGCTACACAACAAGGAGTCATGACGATGCGCTCGTCTTGCCCTTGTCAAATCTCACGATGATGGGTGGAAATAAAAGATAGATAGGAGTCTTTGCTGCTGCCGGAGCAGCAGCAGAGCAGAGCGAGTCGAGGCGTTGGTGCTGTTGATGCCTTGGCCACGTGAGACTGGGAACGATAGATATGATGTCTTTCGCAGGACAAAAACACTGCGGGGGGCGAGGCAAGCAAACAAACGCCGCCGCCTCCAGATTATGAGCAATGGTCTACACGAGCGACGGTTAGAGCCTGCTCTGTTTGAAGTGCTCCCGCCACTTGATTCCACCTTGAGCTGCCCGATGGGCTCTATCCACAATATTGAGTGTTTTCGTGTCTGCCACCATAATTGTCCACGTACGCCTGCAGCGGTACTGGTGCCGATCCTTTGGCGGTATTGCTGTAGCAGGGCCAGAGTGTGACGGCGTGTGTATGCCCCCTCTGCCGTCGTTTAGGGTAGTATTTGATACTGCAGCGGGGAGCGGATGCACCAGTCTTGAAGGTCCGCTCGAATACGTATGATAAGTATGAATTGTGTAATGTCTGGAAGGAGCGTGTCTCGCACGTTGGTTAGGGAGCATTTGAAAATAAAGAGTTCGGTTTCGGGGTGCGCGATGAGCCGCAAACTTCAGGTACACGTACTTGCTCAAAAGAAAACACTTTTCTTCGTCCTTACTCCTATATATTTATCTTCGACTCTTTTCTATACAAGATAGATTTGGATTCGTTGGGTCGTACTATTAATAGAAAAAAATATGAATCATTGAATCAGTGCAAAGGCTAAAATGTACAGCACTATACGTAGATATCGGCGTCGGAGGCTTTGCTACAGCAGTGGTGCCAGCGCTGCTCGTGTGTTAGATGGTATGTATCGCGGACGGTGCATCCGTGGTTGGCGACTAACCGTGCCGAGTGCATCTTTGTCTAGGCCCTTGGTGGATCCGAGCGGACCGTCCTCCTAACCCAACTTCCCCGATTGTATGCATTATCCAACATGTTTACTTAATCGAAAACCCTGCCAAAGGCGAATGATCCGAGCGCTGCGAGCGTGAGCGAGCACACCAAAACAACGGCGGTGGAACCTACAGAAAGCGGCGCGCTCGGTGGGTTGAAGCTTTGCACGTGGAGTCGGTCCATCCCCTTGACCCGCTACCGACCACAATCTCGATCGGCAGCAGCAGAGAAACAGGCCTTTTATGTGACTTTTGAGGAAAGCGTTGGGCGTGTGCTCAGTCGGAGAACTGCACGTATTGCTGCTGTAGTACCGGGGTACGGATGTGCACAGGCACTGCATGTTGGCCTGTAGACTAGCAGTCATGAACGGCGAAATTCAAGGCAGCTGCAGACACCCTTCGTAGTATATTGCAATCGGCGCAGGAACACACGCGCCCTCAAGTTGCACCTCCGGCTGTCGTTCTTTCCTCACATCATCAATCGTCATCATAGCAGCAGTGTTCCAGAGGGAGTTGAACGCATCCCCCTGCTGCGCTCGAACAAAGTAGATGGCGTGCATTTTTGCTGCCGAATAACTCACATGTCGCAGGCCGTTCTCCAATTTGTCTGTCGGGAGGAGGTTGTCGGAGCTCGACGTGGCGTCTTTTCTGTCCTCCATTTCTTCGGCGCTGGGCACTTCACCCGTCGGCTGCTCGTTGAAGACGTCTGCTGTTTCTTCCGCGGTGAGGGGCGTGCTGCTGCTGCTGCTGCTGCTGCTGCTGCTGTTGGCTACCCCTGGGAGTGAACCGGTGCCGCTGGAAATTCCACCGCCGGCTGCCGCTGCTGCCGCTGCCGGGGCGGAGCTGCTGCTCGTGTTGCTCTCCGTAGATATCGCTGTGCTCTCAAAGTCTGACATGGTGCCAAGGAGAAGGGGGGGTAAACCGCTGGTCACAGGTGTACGTCAGGACTGAGAGAGGGCCCAGTGCCAGGTGAAGAAGTGAGTGTAGCAAGGATGGCTGATGGGCATCGCAGGAAGAATACCGGGGTTTCGCAAATTCATGCAGGCACCCCTCATGATGATGTTCTGCCCCCCTCTGCGTTTGCTCCGCCTCCTCCCCGTCCCTCACACGACAACTATTACATCATTGATTACTTCGTCGCCGTAGGGTGGAGTACTGCAGCACAACACCATCCGCTCGATAAAAAATGGGGAAGAAAGGTGCCGGGACCGGCGTCAACACCAAGGTCCAAGCCGCTAGAGAGAAGCAGGCCGCTGTGGAAGGAGCGAGAGCCGCCAAGGCTCAAGCGGCCCAGGAGGCCGCGGAGGCTAAGGAGTGGAGCAAAGGCGCGAACCAGAGGGGCTCGAAGCGGGAGGACGAGGCCGCCCGGAAGCAGGAGGAGAAGGCATCCAAGATTGCCGCTAAGAAGGCGTTGCAGGCGGAGGAAGCGGAACAGCTCTCCGGGTTCAAGTCCGTTGTGGTAAGTGAAGGGTAGCTACTTGCGCTGATATGTTGACCGCGCGACTATGTACTCTGTATTGGTGTTGCACACAGCAGTAGCGTCATCGTGTACCACATGATGTGGTCTATGCGAGACCCTCGACATGCTACTCGGAGTATTATTTATTTTCGAAGAATGATAGCTTGAGGCTGAGTCTTACGGCGTGATTATTTCCGGATTGGATTTGGGGGGGGG